AGCCATTAATCTGCAGGAAACACTGCTGAGGAAAAGAGTGTTTCAGCAGTATCTCTGTCAATCACCTGTTCCCAACAAGAGTAGCACTGAACTGACATGGCACACGTCAGCTGCCTCTGCAAGGGCTGAGCTAAGGCAAGGAGAGAAAGGAAAAAACCCACAACAAAAAGGGACAGCTTCCTTTGTTTGCAAACTGTGGTCTCCCTTGGATGCTTCTAAAGAGTCCACAAAGACCAATTAAGACAAAAGTTTAGATTGTTATAAAACATGAAATAGATTTTGTTTAAGATGTTAATTCTCTCAGTAGAAAAAATTTAGGTATTAAAAGACTAGCTTTCAATTTTTACTTTGAGCTACCGAAACAAGAGGCTTCCTCTTACCTACTAGAGTGGTTCTACCCTTCAGCATGAAGCCTTAATAATAATAAAATATTAATCAATAGGAGGCTCTGTTACTAGAACCTTCCTCCTCATTACTCACAGACCTAAATGAAAGTATCAGTTTTACCAAAGAAGATAGAAAACTTTTCAGACTTAAATCTGACTGCCAGTTTTGGGCGTTTTTGTTGTTGCTGGAGGGAAGCACTGGGGGAGTTGTTTTTTGTTTGTGAGTTTGGTGGGTATTTTTCAGGTGATTTTTTTTTTTTAAGGCTGCAGGAATTTATTGGGAAAACAGTTCAGAATGAAGGTGTTTAAGAGGTGTATTTACAGACTTTTAAGCACTGCTTAATGAGATCAAAATTTGAAGTGCTCAAGGAAAAAGCTGTTGTGAGAACAATCCTAAAATTACCAAACTTGGTCACATCTTTCCATTACAGGTATTACTTAATGCATACAGGCAGAGTAACTTACTAATAGATTAACCACCAACATGACAGTAAGCAACAGAAACTGTAGATGCTTTTATAGATACTTTTTTTTCCCCTCAGAGCCTTTAAAATATGCTTCACTATTTATTAGACTGCGTAGTGATACATGGGTGGCAACACTGAATTTCTCAACATCAAAATATTTTGCAAGAACTTACTGCATTGAAAAGTTCAGAAATGTAAGGATGGACTTGCTCAGTTTGCAAGAGAATGTCACAAAAAGTGCTAACTCAGTAGCTTTTGGTTTTTACACTTACCATTGACTGAATTTAAATATCACCTTGATTAGCCTCACATGCTGTGCAGTATCTCTTTGGCCTTGTCCACAGAAGAATACACACAGTATCTGTTTCACATTCAGTAGGCTCCCTTCCTGCTCTTAAGTGCAAGGCTACTAATACACCACCGAAAGCCACAGCTGTTCCAGCATAGCTGTTCCCCATTCCAAACCCATGATAACAAAAACAAGTTATCCCACAATATTGTCAGGAGAAAAATCTGAAGCGTGCTTTTCTTTCAAAAATACATCTGAAAGTACCTAAAGGTAATCTTCATCAAGTATACAAACAATAGTTGATAAACACCATAAATAGCAAAAATAAAGAGTGGCTGTCACAGATAATTTGAACAACTGTTTTTGTCAAGACTGCTTTAAGAGACTTACACTATGAACAAAACAGCACACAAAAATAATCAAACACACTCTGCTGCATTCCTCCAAGCCAGAACCAAGAATTTGGGAATAAATACAAAGGTAGATAGCCCAAACTAATAGGATCAGTGCCCAGTTAACAAGATTACAGCTAAAAATGCTTCGCCACTGAAAAAGAGAAGAAAAAAGAAAAAGACAGCTGATGGCTGAGAACAATGAGAATAAGCCCAGCAGAATACTGTGGACTTTGCATTGTGTCCTAAAGGCAGATCAGATTGTTAGAATGTTAAGCTTGGTTCAAGAGCCTTTTGTGAAAAATGAAGGTAATAATTAACCAAAATTTGTGTATCAAGAACATACCACAGCTTAAAAATCCACAGAGCTTTTATATAAGGTTTTGTGAAACTTCAGACACAAGTTCAGAAACTTTTCTACTCTTCCAGGAAACAACAATAAGCACTGAAATCAAAGATTTGCAAGTCCAAAAGGGTTTAGAACATTTAGAGAATAAAGACATTCCAATCTCAATTTTTGCTACTTTATGTGCAAACACATTCTGCCACAGTGGGAGTACCGAGGCTTGCTGTTTACCCTCCACAACAAGTAAAGGCTCACAGCTGATCCCACAGAAGCAATATTAGAAAACTTTTAACTCCAAAACTGAGATTTTGCTCATTAGCTTTCTTGCCGTCAGCCAGAAAGGCCATTAAATCAACCTTATAGGCTACAAAAAAAAATTGCTTGGTTCTAAATAATTAAAGTGACACTCCAGATATGCTATCTTATCATTACTAAGTTTGTAATCACATCTAAAGGGCAGAATTCAGTTTTAAGAACAGGTGCCCAAAATGAATGAGCAATCCATTCCTCACCAATTATTTCAGCTTTGTGAGTCAAAGAAGACCACTCAGCAAGGCAAAGCCACATAACGCAACTTCTAGTAAGTTCATCTTGGCCACTGCATTACTCGAGTAGATGAAAAGTAGAGAACAAGTCCCTCACTCTTAAATGAGGAATGCAAGATCACATGTGTCTGTTTCCCAAATGTGCAGCACTGAGAAAAATGCTGCTGAGCCCAGCTTACACAGCACAGCAATAGAAAAAGCTTACGGTGATTCCTTAGCTTTCTATCAAATGCTCTGTTGATGCTGTTGTTGTTTAAAGGTGTCACATCACAGAAATTGTAACAAATGTATTGAAAGGTTTTCCTTCCACTTGATTCACCCTCCTAAATATACTGAGCCAAGAACAGCTTATTCCGACTTGACAGCATACCATTATAAAACAATGGCGCAACGTGTATTATCAATTACACATGCAAAGTGACCTAAGTACAAAGTCAGACGTTCTCCCAGCTTAGCTGCTGCCAAAAACACATGTCAGAAAAGCTTGAATTGTCTGAAACAAGACTCTCAGTAATTTCACTTTGGTCCTAGTTTTCGTAATCACCTATTCAAAGGCAGATCCTCGTTAAGCACCTCTGAGATCTCATCTGGTAGGTCAAGTCTTCCTCCTAAGATTCAGAGGACCATGGATTCTATTTCTACTAAACACACCACGTTTTAATGTTTGTCACGCTTGTGTCATCTTGTCTTATTTTGGGGGGGAGGGAAGAGGAAGCGTGTGTTAAAGAAAGGTCGTAGTTACTCCGTGGTGATGAGACTTCTAACCAGTCACTGGTTATACCAAAAACAAAGCCAGATACAAGAACATCAAATACAGCGGAAAGAAAACTTGAAGATGACTGCTGTAACTGAAGCTAGAAGCAAATTTCTCAACATGCAAGACTACTTCCAGTATTCCAGCTTTAAATAAAATGCTCTCACAGGGCATTTTAACCCAACCCAAGAACTTAAACAGTCATTCACTTCTGTTAGATGGAAAAGTTGAAAAATTTGCAACTTAGGCCTCGTTATAGCACCAAACCTTCATTTACTTAAAAAAAAGAAGTTTAAGAATGCCTGTTCTTCCAGTTTTGTGATGAAGCACCTGATATCCACTTGCTTTGGCTGTTTTCCCAGTTATCCTTGTTTTAGCATGTAACTATTCTGTGACAGCTTTCCAAAATGCAATTTCTGTTCTTTCAGTTGTGAAATAAAGGCACCCATTTGAAGAAAAGAAAGAAACTGTAGTCTAAAATAAAGATGAAATCTGTTTTCACATAAGCAATTCTGTGAATTGCAGCTGCAAGCATTCTGCTTAATTCAGGTATGTTTATTCTATTCCTGCAAAAGGCCTTAGTGAATGAGGACAGATGGCCAAGACAACACTGTCTCCTCCACTATACAGCTCCAGCTTACATTCAGAACAACAGCCAGTTGGAGGCAGAGGGTAGCTATTAACCTCAGAAATGCAGACTGGTTTAGTTTTTGTTAAAATTAATACATGACTAGAATATGCCATCATCATGACCTTACAACAGACCCTACAGGCCACTATTGAGATAAGAGCACATACAACAAAGTCAGGGAGGGGTTAACAGATTAAATGGAATCCACAGTGTGACCCAACATCTAAATTGAAATCGCTTCTGCCACTCAAGGAACAAAATTCTTTTATGCCATGGTGCAAACTTAAGAAATACTAAATTTAAAAAACAACTACTTACAAAGTCTAAAAAAATCACAACCTCTTGTACACAGTCTTTCTGGTGAAAACTGAAGTTTCATTTAATCCATTCTGATGCACAGATTCAGTAGCTGGGAACTAACCCAGTGTAACACCTCAATAATCTCAAGAGAAAACTCCTCCTAGAGTTTGCTACATCACTGATTTTCTTCCAGATCAGGAAATTATTAAATACTATTGAAAGTTTCAAACAGAATATGTAATAAGGAAGTCACATAATGAGCAACTGGCACTTTAACTGCACGGAAATCCTAGTGACGCATCTGTTGTGGGTAACAGAAAGGGGCTGCCATTTCGTTCCTGGTGGAGGTTCTCTGCAGTCTCAAGCCTTGCAGCACATAACTATGAAAGGAAAAGATACATGCCTGAGCACGTCCCTTGTCCCAACACGAGAAGGGGGAGGGTTAATCACGTCCAGCCGCCATTTTCTGAGCGGAGGAGGAAGACATGTTGGAAAATTTAAAAAGGAAAAAAAAAAGAAAAAAAAAAAAAAAAAAAAAAAAAAAGAAAAGGCAACAAAAGAAAGCAGCCATTTCCAGTACCGGCTCCAAACTCCCAGCCTCATCGAGAACATCTGCTCTCACCGAAACTGTTCCACACTGTGTCCTGATCACAAGAATTTCTCACAGCTCAGGAACTGCTGAAGATCTCACTTTCAAAGCACAGTATGGTTGGATAAGAGACAGTGAGCCGGTGGGGAGAACACTCAACTCATTGTAGAGCTTAGAACGGAGCATTTTTCCCCCCAACAGCCCAATTCCTTCCAGATAAATCTCTTTTTACTGGTGGTGTCGTGCCTCACACTAATATTAAAGAAAAGTCACTGTACTAGCATACATGAATGATTCCTACCGTATATGTGGGATGCCAACTCCTCCCTGCAGAATCTTGTATAGTTTGCTTTCATACAGCAGCTGGGGATGTCTAGCCTTCTGAGACTCCAACTTTACAGCAACTTCCTACAGTGAGAGGGAACAAGGAGTCAGAGCAGAGCGTCCACCAAGCACAGGCTTGCCACTGAGGTTTAAGGGGCACAGCACTTCAACATCTCCCACACACACCCCTGCTTCAAATGCTTTGAGGTATAATTTTTTTTTTTAAGCTCTCGGTGCCCAACATCCTGTGTTTTGTTGTGTCTTCAAATAAAATCCGTATCATGATGACTTGTACATAAATATCCATCCCAGGTCATGAAATAGAGCTGGAGATGTAAAGTCTTCAGATTCATGAAAGTGAGGAAGAACATACGTGGGTGTTTCTTCTTTACAGCTCAAAGCCGTGAGGGGGAGGAAGGGAAAAAAAAAACCCCACCAAGAAAAAAAAAGAGCTGAAGAAACAGGGGATCTTCTTTGTTTCTGTTACTGTTGACAAAAATGACAGTGTTCCCCAGCTGAGAGAGAGGGGGACAGATGACTGGTGGGAGAGGGACGACTCTGGCCGCTCATAAAAGACAAAGTATGCTTTCCCACAATGGTGGTCCCCTCTCCCTACCAGCTGCAAGCGAACTACCCAACTGCCGGGGAGGGGAGACCACCACCGCACGGCTCTGCCGTGTGAAGGGGCACTGCCACCCCCCCGGCGATGAAGGCCCTCGGGCTCGGGAAGCCCCTCAACCCCGGGGGCTTGAAGGAAGCACCTTCACCCCCACTACCCCGCGGAGGGCTGCT